TTTTTTTTTTTTTTTTTTTTTATGTATTATAAGTAGGGACCTACTTAAGTTGCGGTGAGACTAAACAGTTTTCATGGTTTGATTGCAGCATAAAAAGAAAATTTTATGGATATTTCCCAGACGTACTTAGCCAGCTCTGCCCCTTGGTGCTGATTGGCAGAGGCCCCAGTGGAGGAGAAATGAGGGGGGCGGCTGCCATCTCATCTGCTGGCTGCCCTTCGTGAGCCCCCAGCCTTAGTGCTGATTAGCAAAGAGGCTCCAGCAGGGGGAGGAGAGATGAGGGACCAGCCACCACCTTGTCTGCTGCCCTTTGGCTGGCACCTTCCCCCCTCCAGGTGGGCTGTGGGGCTGGGCTACAGCAGTGAGGACTGCTGGCTCCCACAAGGGAGCAGCATTTTATTTTTGTTTTTTTTTAAAGTTGATTTCACAAATAATCCCAGATGTTGTGGTTTGTACCAAAAAAAAAATCGCGAATTGAGTAGACCCCTAATTATAAATCAACTTTATTTCCATGTCACAACAAATAGCATGTTTGTTGTCCAATGTATTCTACAAATAGATGGTCCAGTTTTCCAAGTTTCCTAGCCTTCCAGGTTGTAAAGATAGTTTTGAAAATGTGAACAGCCTAACTATTGCAATGTCTAGTTAGGAGGAAGTATGAAATGGGGATCAGCATTGTTTAATATTTTCATTAATGACTTGGATGATGAAAGTAGGTGGATGACACCACATTGGGTGGAATGTCTAGATGCTCTGGAGGATAGAGCCAAGATCCAGAATTACCTTAAAAAACTGGGGATGTAGTCCACAATCAATTCAGTGGAAATTCAGCAAGTACAAGTGCAAAGTTCTGCACTTGGAACAGAATAATTGCGTGCACAAATACGGACTAGGCAATGATTGGGTAGGTTGCAGTACTGTGGAGAAAGACCTGAGGATTATGATGGACCATAAATTCAATACAAGCCCACAGCATGCTCTTGTTGCAAACAAAGCCAAAAGGGAAGTGATTCTTCCACTGTATTTAGCACTGGTGAGGTCACACTTGGAGTACTGTGTCCAGTTTTGGGCCCCACACTTCAAGAAAGATATAGACAGATTGGAAAGAGTCCAGCAGAGAGCAAGAAAAATTACTAGAGGCCTGGGAAACATCACTTACAAGGAAAGCATGAAAGAAATAAGGTTGTTTAGTCTAGAGAAGAGAAGATTAAGGGGAGGTTTGATAAGTCTTCAAATACCTGAATGGTGGCTATAGAAAGGATGGAGATGTGCTTTTCTTTGTGGATGTAGGGGGCAGATCTAAGAGGAATGACTTCAAAATGCAGCAGAGGAAATTTGAATTAGAGATTAGGAGGAACTTTCTGACTCTGAAGGTGGTCAAACATTGGAACAGGCTCCCTAGAGAAGTTGTGGAATCTCCATCCCTGGAAATGTTCATGATCAGGATGGACAGATACTTGGCTGGGATGGTTTAGTCAGGGATGATCCTGCCTTGAGCAGGGGACTGGATTTTATGACTTCACATGGTTCCCCCCAGCCCTGCCTTCCTATGAACCTCTGCTACGTGTACAGGCAGCACGTGCGTGCACACACACACACCCACCCACCCAGAGGCTTTTGCCAAGCATGCAGCCTAAATAGCACATAGTTTCATAGTTTCTAGGGTCGGAAGGGACCTGAGCAGATCATCTAGTCCAACCCCCTGCCATGGCAGGAAGAGCACTGGGGTCAAACGACCCCAGTAAGGTGGTCATCCAACCTCCTCTTAAAAACCCCCAGGGTGGGAGCCTGCACCACCTCACTTGGAAGCTGGTTCCAGACTCTAGCCGCCCTGACCGTGAAGTAGCGCCTCCTGATGTCCAACTTAAACCTTCCCTCC